GTTTAAAAATAGCCATAGACCAGCCTCAAAGATGCCAATATGTAATGGGCAGAAATCCATGTTTTCCAAAAACTCCTGAATGAGGCTGAATAAAAACCATAAAAAGGGTACTGTGCCCCACACAAGCCATGAAACTGGAGATAGGGAAATGCTACATGACTTGGCTATTGATTATCTGAGGCAGCAACAATAGTAAAGATAGCCAAGAAACACAGAGAAATTGGTCTGCTGGTGGGAATGGACAGTTTCCATTGCAAGTTGCAGATTATCTGAGACTAGTTCTAGACTGGCACGTGTGCTGAACAAAAGCAGGACTTTGTACTTTACCAAAGTCTGGCCACTGTCCCACGCTAGACGGTAAGGACTCTTATCCTAAATCTTGACATTTTCAGTGTTGAAGACAGGTTCAGATCTAAGTAGGAAAAAATTTTCTTTTCTGGCAGATGTATCAAACCCATCCTTTGAGCAGAGCTGTAGCACTAAGCCTTGTTTTGTTTTGGTATGGTAATACCAAAGGGCAGAGGTGGCAGTGCATGGTTACCAGTCATGTCAGCTTGGCTGTTTTGCAAGGGAAATTTCTTTCTCTCTGCATAATAACTTTCTGCAGGCATGAAGGACTAAGGGAATGTGTTGTTCCCCACCGCTACCTTCACTCTTCACGTACTGTTTGCTGTACCCATCTGCCTGCAGCTTTAATATCACGCTCATTAAAGAATTCCCAGATCAATTGCATGAAGAGAAGTGGGATGGGCTGCCCTGAGCTTCCGGAGCCCTAATAATGTGCAGGCCAACAATGGGCCCACTGTTCTTTCAGCTGATGATTAAATACTTGGCTCATAAATACCAATATTATATAATTCCAAAATCATGTCAGCAAATTGTGACCATATGCGAGACTCTTTGGGAAGATCTGAGTCTTCTAAAGTCAGCCTGAGGAACAAAATAGGCTTCTCATCAACAGTTGATGAGAGCAGCAGTAGTGACTTAATCCTCTGTCTCTCCTTATGCCCATCACCTCCTAGCTTGAGATTAACAGTGTGATCCAAAGGCCTGTGGGGTTATGTGAGTAGGCCCAGAGCTGTTGTGTTTGCTTGAGCCTTGGCAGTCAGCTGTGCTGCCTCTTTGGAGATCATTTCCTCCTTGGTGTGATGGGCAATGATTGCAGCTGGGGACCAGCAGCGTGTCTTCTTACTGAGAGGCCTAAATTTAACAGGTGCTCAGTCATCCACATCTTAGTGGATTTTAATTTTCTGGGTAAATTGAGATCTGGCCCCCACTGACACAGTACCTACTGTTGTTGGTGGATGCAGGGAGTATCTTGCTCCTTGCCAGTCACATTCCTTCTAACGAGTCTGCTGGTGTATCATAATCTGGGAAGAATACACGTGGTGCTGGATATATCCATATATTCTGCAAGACTGCAGCAGTTCACGACCTGCTCCATTTAATTTGCAGGCAGTTTTCATGTTGTCTCTTTGTTAAGAGCTGAAGAATTTGAAAACCCAGTAGACCCTCTATCCAGGGACAGGATTCTAGCCACCTAAGAAGTTGACTTCAAAGGTATTTTCTGTCCCTGAACACTTTGATCCCATGACCTCATATCTGAGTTAGCCTTATGTTTTTCTGTGCCTGTCACAGTATCTGGGGAGGTCTACCAAAAATCAACTAGGAGGAAGAGGCTGTGCTTGCTACTTAAAAGTGCAGTTGATGTGATACATTCATACCTGTTGTTCAGAGAGGCTACCAATGGGCAATGCCTCATACTGTATAGAAATAATCTTGTTGTGTGTGTTGAGGCATACAAGGTCTTTCTCCAGCAGTCACGTGTGCTCCGCAGAGAACTATCAGCATTTCGCCCAAGGACTTCCCTTGCTCTTGTAATATCAACATTTACTGCTTTCCTATGATTACCAGTTTAAATAACTCTTGGCATTTTATCATCCAGATGTGGCCAGAAACAACCAATATGGAACACCTTGTAAAAATAACGGGGTGTGAGAACAGGTAGTTGAGAGAATAAAGCTACAACTGTCTTTTGTCATTCCTTGAAGGAAATCATATTGTCATGAGCTTCCATTTTAGCTTCTATGTGGGGTGTGGAAAGTCCTGTGGTTTATTTTCCTCTCTTGGAGGAGGAAGGCAGAGCTTTCTGCTGAACAGAAGGGCTTGAAAGCAGTGCAGCCTAGTGATCAGAGAAGTTGTGCAACTTGGATTCTTCTAACTCTAGTGTATGGCCTTGGGCAAGTCATTTAGTGTTGTGAGGTCCAGCTTACCACCTCCCCACGAGAGCCAGAGGCTTTGTTCATCTGAGGTGTGACTTCCACAGTGATCCTGCAATGTCCTGCTCTTAACAAAACTAAGAAGACCTTTCCATTCTGTTTTGGTTTTAGTATGTTGAGGAACACCTTCAGCAACATCATGCTGATGAATTTGCACTGCCCTGACTGTTATTTGGGCTCTTTGGTCAGCATTAGCAGTAATGCAGAGCAGGACACTGGACTGATGAGGCTGTGCTGAATTCAGGTGATTGAACCGAGCAAGTCCCTGTTTGGCATGCTTAGCAATAACAGGCAGGTTCAGTGGTGCCTGCATTAGGATCCTCTGCTGAACAAATGTAAAGAAATTTCTGTTACAAGCCTAGCACGGACATGAACATTGGCAGCCTTTGGAGTTTCCTGCCCACCTCTCTCACCAGACTTTGCAGCAATGAGGCGATCATCTGCTGAGGGTGGTCAGCACTTCCTGATGCTGCACTGCAATGATGATTTTCTTCGGTTGACTCTGGAAACGATTATATTTTCCACTGAAGAGCTGCAGCAGGGAAAAGCACTGACTGTTCTGTGGTAGGCAGGAAAATCACACATATCACTGTAATTAGAATAAGTATATCAGCAGCTTCAGTCAACTGTTCAGTATTTTTGTCTGTAGCAGGCAAATTTAGTTTCATTCTGAATTTATTCTTGTCCACAAGAGGAGCAAAGCCGGAGATAACAGAATGAACTCTGCAAGGAAGCATGCAAAGTATGTCTCCGACAAGCTTCTCTGAACTAACCTGGAGCAAAGCTTTCTTCTGTGAACACAGTGAGGTCATTAGGTGGCTAAAGGTACCTTTTGAAACAGAGGTACGTCTGTCACCTACCAAAAAGCGTCTCACAAATGCTAAGGAAAGCCTTACACCTGGTGGATGTTTCTCTGTGAAAATATTGTCTTTCAATATGAGCGGGCTTTCTTAATGCAACAGATCACCAACAATTTTTTTCCCCTGATCTTCCTTAGTTTTAGATAAGAGCTTTTGGATGATAGACTTGAGAAGACTGGAAGAAAGATTTTTGTGGACAGATTTTTTTTCTTCTTTGCCTTTTCTGCTTCTTTTGCCAGAAGTGTTACAAGTGTTTTACGAATGAGCGAAGAAAAGAGAGAGCAAAGCAGAAATACCAAGAAAGGAGACAGAGTTTTTTGGGTAAACCTTTTTCTCACTAAAACAACTCAAAAAGAACAACAGTGAATTTTTCCCCAGTTTTAAAAAGCTTGAAATAGATCAATTGCCTGTCAATTTTGCTCATGTTGGAGAATTTCTGCGTTGGAGGGACAGGCTGCAAACAGAAGGCTAAGGAGGGATGGGCAGCTGCTGGGAGAGTGGGTTGCAGTGCCATCACCTCACATGGCCCCTTTGCCTTCCTCCAGTGATTAACAGGAGGTGGCTCCCTGCAGTGATTACTGTGTTTTAAGCAGCTTGGTCCAGCTTGGAACAATTACCCAGCTGCCTGGGCACTGAGAGCACAAGCTCTGGACTTTGCTGTCTTTGGGATATTAGCTGAAACCAGTGTGACCTAAGACAACTGGAAGCCAACGCTGCTGAATGTCATCTCTTACTTGGTTCTGGGAGACTGAAGATGCTGGTGGTTTCTGAGATCAGTTAGCAGTTCTTTCAGAAGAAGGAACAGGCTCTCACATTTTCTTTGTTGTCTTTTATGTAAAAGGTCCCCTTACAGTGGTCTTTATGCATAGTTAGCCTTCCTACCAAAGATTCAGCCAGTACAGACAGTGACTCTAATGCAGCAGGTTGGTTTGACATCAGGGCTAATTAGCAATTATCCAAATCTTGGAGCAAGGTCTTTCAGACCTGGTTGTTTTGGGGGTGGGTTTTGGGGGTTTGTTTTCTACCCCCCGCCTCCCCCCAAGCAGAGTAGGCATAAAATTCCATCTGCCTAATTTGCAAATGCAATTGCTTTAATTATGCATCTAAATTGGGAAAACGTATGCTCAAAAAGATAGACAATTAATTCTATGCATGTAATTGATAATGCATATACAAATTAGCTGTATTCTCCAAAGCCTGCACCATCTCAAAACCTGTCCCCTCTGAAAATAACTGTTTTAAAAGAAGAAATCCTTTCCTTTTGCAAGTTTACAGCACTAAGACAGCCTGTACACCAGTTTAGTTTGTTGTTTTGTTGCTGTTGCTCATGCAGTTTTGTTTTACACAAAGATAATTTTCTTTGCCCAGAGCCAATTCCTGCCAATTCCAAGGACCAGAACACAAGGATTAGATGCTGTGAATGTACCTGCTGCTACATCCAAGTAATTTTCTGCCCCCAGAGATGGCAAGTGCAAGGAAGTGTGATAGAGCAGGGGGAGCTGAGGGAAAGAGGACACAGGAATGTGGATCGTGATAACTGGTGGTGAAGGCAGTAGATGGAAGGCTGGAGAATGGGCCAGAGAGCTCAGCCAGGTGCATCAGCAGCCTCTGCTCTGCCTTGCCAGTGTTCTGCCCTCACCTCATTTATTGGCATTGTAAGAGCAGACCCTGGTACTGGTTTTCCTTGCACCCCATGTAGGCCACCCTGTGATCATCCTGAGACTTGGTTTCTAAAGCTCCAGCCTGGTGGTGTTCTCCTGCCTGCCTGGATCTGGTGCTGACAAACTGGCGCTAATCTCCCTGGATGGTTGTGCCAGACCTTGCTTTGTCTTCATGGTTTCTTCCTTTTCTTTTTACCCAGATGAGCAACAAAAGGTCGAATAGTTTCCGCCAAGCCATCCTTCAGGGGAACAGGAGGCTGTGCAGCAAGGCACTGCTGGAGGAAACGGGGCTGAGCCTTTCACAGAGGCTGATCCGGCATGTTGCATATGAAACCCTGCCACGAGAGATAGACCGCAAATGGTACTATGACAGCTATACCTGCTGCCCTCCACCCTGGTTCATGATTACCATCACTATTGTAGAGGCAAGTACCTTAATGCCCTCTCTCTGGGAACCCACCCCACACTGCCAAAGGCTTTGCTGGGACGTGAACAAGGGCTAGAGTGGGACTCATTTAGACCCAGACAAGGACAAGCATGAAGCTGATTGATAGCCATTTTGGCTTACCTGTATGTGTGTGTGTAAGTGGAGACTGTGATCCTATCTGTCTCCAAGTGTGGTTATTAGTCATTGAAATAATTTGTATATGAAACTACAGAATTTGGGAAACTGTAGCAAACTTTTTGAGGAGTGAAAATCTGGACAGTTCTAGGGAAACTGGTAATTCAAATAATGGAATTAGAAGAAAAATTCCCTACAGTTATCTCTGTTCTGTGAATGGAGAGAAAAAGGAGGGAAGAGAAACTGGGTTAAATATTCTGACCTGCTCATCTGTTGCCCAAATGAGATCTTTGCACAGTTGCTGAGTAATGCACTCAAATAAGCACAGAGAAGGATATAATATGGCACCGATCAGTAGGGTGCTGAGTTCCTCTGACTCAGTGGCTGGTATGTTACAGAAAGACACATATGGAGTTATACCAATGTGTTGCAGGTTCCTTAAAAGAGGGAACTTTCACGCTTTGTGAAGCTCTCAAATGGGAGAAAATTTATTGTATGTTTGACTTTTTTCTCCATGATTCTGAGCTACAAATTGCTTTTCAGTGAGAGAAAGCATTTGCTAACCAAGGAATCTCCCTGCTCTTCTAGGTTGCCTTTTTTCTTTACAACGGAGTGGTATTAGACAGATTTGTGCTGCAAGTCAGCCATCCCTTATACCTGAAGAACGCATTACTTTACCATCCTCAGCTCCGTGCTCAGGCTTGGAGGTACCTAACCTACATATTCATGCATGCAGGGTGAGTACTTAGAAACCACAGAGATTCTCCACAGTTCAGGTTTCCCAGAGAGAGGGAGGAGGTGGAAGTGACAGAATTGGCTCTGAAATAAAATTTAAAAAATCAATTCTAAATTGCATATAAAAGTCTGAAGCTGTTGTGGAGTGTTGGGCAATGAGGGGCAAACCTTCGCAGCTCTCTGAAGGGAGGTGGCAACATAAGGAACTTGACAGATGCTGCTCTTCTCCCCAGCAGTGTTGGGACCGCACCTTCCTCTTATTGCACACTTTCCAGTGTGTGCTTCCTAAAACTCACCAGATTGAAGCCCAGTGTCCCTCTAGAGGAGCTGTGCAAGTATTTAAAAACTACATGGTGTATTCTTGCTAGACTTCCTAGCTGAGGTTGGAAAAGTCAATTAAATTCCCTGTGCCTATGGTATGTCATCACTTAGTAGCATTGTCCCTTCTGTAGGGACCGAGATAATGCCTAGAAGCCTGAGTCAAGACTGAACTCCCATTTTGTACACACTGTACAAACACCAGTGTTCCTGCAGACCTGACAATCTCAACTGGCCAGATGGACAGAGAATGGTCCATCTAACACAAAATGCAAAATGATGGTGCACAGTAAAATGAATCCTCCTTCATTCCATGGGAGGTATGTAGCAGACTTGGGAAGAGAATACAAGCTGTGGGGATTCTAACTCTGTGCTTCTCAACTGTGCTAGTCCTCCCAAGATTAAAAGAGACTTAATTGTGTGATGTTTGTGATGCCATGGTGATGAGTGTCACAGGAAAGTTCATCCCTGTACAAAACAGTCTACCCCCTCTGAGTAGTTTCTCAGATCATTATCTTCACACATTCCTGGCAGATAATTGCAATTTTCTTTAATTCTGTCATTGAAAAATCACAGCAACGGGCTTTTTAGCAGTAGTTTATAGTTTGAAACTGGATAAAGACCCTTTGTTCTTAAATAGAAAGCCTATATTCCCATCAATCAGTGTTCTCCTATGAAAGGCCAGAAAGATCAAGCTGATCTTTTCCTTTTTCTATGTCTCTGATGGAAGACATGCTGATGTCTCTTCTCTGCCATGGAATAACTGCCTTGGTGTGTAATTGCCCTTGAGCACAAGATTTGCCCCAGATCTCTGGATAAAAATCATAGGACAGAACAAACTCCACCCAAGGGGACAGTAGGAAAAAATTTATAGATGAAACTTCCTAATATGGCAACATCTGTACTCTGCATCCTAAATCCCTCCAAAAAGTCCATTGTATATAGGTTTCAGTCTGCAAGTGGAGACTATTGGGCTTAGACGTGAGGCTGGTGATGTAAAATGAGAATTGGAAATTTCCATCACTGAGGACGTGGGGAAAACTGGGCTTGTAAAAGTTGTAAAACTTGATTTTAACTTAGCTAATTTGTATCTGGCTTTTCTTCTGGTGGTGGCAATGTTCTACTATATCACATATGTAACTGCAGGTTGCTTTGGGATACATTTGAAGAGAAGCACCTGCACAAGGACAATTTTTGCAGCATTCAGATGTCTTCCTCTATTACCTGTGGCATGCTTTCCTACCTTGTGCAAGGTCACCCTTCCCTGTAGCAGGCAGTGCCCTGGTGATCTTCACACTTACTGGCTGAAAAATAGCTTAGTTTTTTTTCACATCTGTGGCTGGCTCAGAGGTGAACAGTGGGGAAGGTGGTGTGCAGGAGACTCATTGTTTTTGTGATGGATTTCAAGTTCTTTAGCTATGTAGCCTTCAAAACAATGGAGAGTCCTGCTGGAACAATAAACCCCATGATTTATCTGCAGTATCTGGAGTTAGGCTAAATGTTCATTTATTGCTAACCGGTGTGTTAAGCTCCTTTCATATCAGGAGAACAGATAAATCTTGGAAAGGTAATAACGTTTCTTAGTGGAAGCCCATCATTCTCCTCTCATTTTCAAATGAGAGGCTAACACAATGCCATGGGGTCTATTGTTATCCTGCTTCCAGCTGAGACTTTAAAATGGTAATGTGGACTGCTCCTTAATTTAGTGCACTCGGTCTGTTTTTTTGAAGAGCAAGTGACAGCCGGAAGATGTCCGAGAAGACAGCAGTTGCTAAGGCTTGGCTGGCTGTGCCTCTAGAAAGATGCCAAAAATGCACGGGTTGTGTGTTGGTCCTGATGGAGGGAGCTTTGTCAAGGGCTGAAAAGGCAGGCAAAGTTGTAAATTCTGCCCTTCTGCTTTCATGGAAAGCAGACGTTGATTATCTGGGGCCCACGCATTTGTAACACTGCCATAACTAATGACTTGCATTGATGCTCAGTCCCATTTGTTTGGTCCCAGGGAAGGAGAAAGTCTTTAATAAATCAATGAAATTGTCATTTCAAGAATGACGCATTCAGCACTGGCAAAGGGTAATTATATTTTATGGGTGCTTATTGACTGTGGAGCCTTCAAAGCTGCTAGCATGATGGGGAGGAGAAGTGAATGGGATTGCTCCTGGAAAGTCTTTTAAGAACAGCTGTGAATCAGAGCAGTCACTTTAGAGTCTAGGATAAACTTTGCCGAGCTCTAACAAAAGCTTCCTTTGAAAAATAAGACCCAGTGCTTTGTGTGAAAATGTCAGGTGCCAGCTCATGACGTTGACTCTCTGCCAGCCAAAGCTTCTTTCCTCCCCTCTGTAAAAGGGCACTTGGATGCTTTGACTCTTCTGTGATCTCAGTTTGACCTTTGCTGGTTGTTCCTAATGTAGTTCCTAACTTCTGTGAAGATGCAGGATCAGAACGAATGCCAGAATATGCCTATGCCCAGTGGCTTTAAAAGTTTTGAGCAAAGTAATAAAAAAACTCAGTTACATGCAGCAGTTTCCCATGATGACAAATTGCAGTGCTGAATGTTTTGTGCAGAAGAGAAATTTATCCTTGGAGAGAAATTCAATGGAAACAAACCTATTAAGATATCTGGAAAGGACTGTTTCCGGCAGTATAATTTGTAGCAGTTTTTTCCAGTCCAACTTTAAATTCTCATTTATGAGACTGTTATGTCATTACTGCATCTCACCATCAGCGGTTTTTGCTGATGTATATGGCAGATTGCTATGGTAACATGAAGAAAGACCAAAACAGTGAAAATGCACATAACTTAAACCAAAGATTGCTAGTGGCTGTCTGTGAGCAATCCTTTTCTTGTATAAAATAGGATGTAGATTTCCAATGCATTAGCTACTTTGCACTCTTTCCTCCCAAAGATGTTAGCCTTCTGCGTTAAGGGTACCACTGTGTCATTTAGGTCCACCTGCTTTGTAAGCAGACTCAGGCACTCTTCATACAGAAAACAGTATACCCCTGGGTCCAGCAGGATGTGGCTGTTCAGCAAGGTTGCAGTCCTGTGAGCCCAGGGTAAATCTCAGACACTAGCACAGTGTTGAGAAGGACCCTGTTCAGCGGCCTGGTGCTGTTGTTACCTCACTGAAAGATCCTGCAGATGGCAAAGGCAAGGGTAAATATTTGTACAGAGCTTTGAAAAGTAGCAAGACAGTTTTGTTAAGTACTATTGATTAAAGCAACAAAGAACTTGCTTTGAAACTATTGATTCAGCACAGGAGAAAACTGCTGCACTGGAGTCTTTACCAAATACGCCCATGTTAGCTGTCACACTCTGCCTCTAGGCTGCAAGTGGTCCTGCACGATGTGCGCAGTGGGGTTTTCTACAAGACTAGTCTAAGCCCAGCTTTTCCCATTGTGCTCAGCAGGAGTTTTGCTATTGACTGTAATGGGAACAAGGGTAGGTGAACAGGGAGCTCATACGCTTTGTGTCTCACTGGGCACCTAACCACAGATAAAAATGCCCTCTGCTTCCCATTCTGACCATGATCACATTGAAGCAGGCACAGCAGAAAAGTGTGAGGGTCAGATAGCACTAACAGTAAAGTGGCATTATGTGTCACAAGGAAACAGCAACTGTCTTAGCACTGCTTGGCTTACCTTGCTCTTGACTTAATATCTGTTCCCCATCATGGCAGTGTAATATGTGCAGGGAAAGGCTGTATCATTAGGAGGGGAGAAGAGAGGAGCAGGTCAAATTTCAGGCTTCTGTTCCAGGCTCTGCTGCCATCTTGCTGCTTTTTTGGACAAGTCATTTAACTTCTTCAAACAAACAAGACAAAACAAACAAAAAAAGAAAACAAACAAACAAAACAAAGATAAAAAGAAAAAAAAACCTCACTAAGAACCAAACATGCTGTGAGGCCTTTGGCTGAAAGGACCTGGGTGGATGTGAAAAAGATAATGAGCAGCAAGGAGGGAAGAAGCATCGTAGCTCTCAGTCTGATTTTTTTCAGGAACCATTGTTTTTCCCAGTGTTACAGTCTACTTTCATGAAGCAGGTGCTATTTGATTTCCTTTCCAAGATATCTCTGTCTCAAGTGTAGAGAAGGGAGACAAAGACTTAGAAAAGAGGACAACTGTTGTTTCTCCTTGCCGCAGGATAGAACACCTTGGACTCAATGTTGTCCTTCAGCTCTTGGTTGGGATTCCCCTGGAAATGGTGCATGGAGCTGCGAGGATCAGTTTTGTGTACGTTGCTGGAGTTGTGGCAGGTAGGTGACACCTCTGGATGCCCCAGATGGAGAAGCATCTGAAAATGGTCTGTGCTGACTTTTGTGTAGTAGAAATGTTTTGTGACATCTGGATGTAGGAGAAGAGCAGTCACTGATCTTCTGTGCGTTGAAATTATTCTGGAGGGTAGAAGTGAGAAATATGCTACAACTTGACATCCGATTCTAACTAGCCATAGGCTCTGTGTTTAGGAGACCTGCTAGAAAAAGCACCAACAACCTGTTACTTTAAAATAGCCTTGCTTTAGATGGCCTTCCTGAATGTGGCAGTCATGCTGTTCCTTTCCTCATGTCCCATAGAGGCTTAGAAGAAAGGTGGCATCACAGGCATCCCTGCGTGAAGAGTCTTTTTTTTTTTTTCCAGGTCCTGTGCCAGTTCTTCCTCCATTTGTCCTGCGCTGTCTGCTTTCTATAGCCTGAGTAAGCAAGAAGTATTTGGTTGTAGGTTGTGAGCAGTGCACAGGAATCTGGAAATTCATTTCATCATGAAGCCATGGGGTTTAATTGATTTTTAGTTTGGGTTGTATTGCTTTTATTTATGTTTGGCTTTCCAGCAGTTCGGAGGTGATGGAAGTTAGCTGACAGTAGATCAACATCTAATTAAAACAGGGGGAAAGTGTGAGAACAGCCAAGGGCTTCACAGTGGAACTCAGACAGCGGTTGACTGCCTTAGTTCAAGATTTATGGGGATTTTTTTTTTCCAGCTACATAATTTTATTTTTTCCATAATGAACAGATAAAGCCTTTGTAAAGTGGGCTGCATTGGGTACCAATAAATCCTACATTCCAGTAGAGAGACTGTGGAAAGCATAATTGGACTAGGACACAGGACTAGGCATGGTACAAACACCATGATATTTAATGAGGAGGAAGGAGTTTGCAGACCAGCTCCACTGTCCCTTGCCTGTTATTTCAATAAGCACTAAAGTAGTCCCCAATCTGCAACTTTGCCAACATAAGCTTTTCTACATAGATCCATCTACCAAACCCTGGGGCTTCATTTATATATGTGTAAATACATATCGTGCATCTGTGCCAGGTAAGTGAAGCAAGTGATCATTGAATCTGCTGCAACTGAGCCCAGTTGAGCATTGCGAGTTGCCATCTGCCTCTCAGATTCCTGTGGCCATGGCCTTGCTGGCAGGGTCTGCAGGGCCAGAGGCAGGTTTTACTTGGGCATTGGGCTGGGCTGAATGCCCAGAGTTCCGGAGGCTTGTAGCCAGTGCCTGAGTGAGGCTCAATAGCCCACCTAGCATTATTGGTTCATTTCTGCTACACAGATGATCCCACTTTTTTTTCTCAGACAAGCTGCCACATCCTTGTAGACTTGCTTTTCACACCTTATGACATATAAATTGTGGAAGAAAGTGCCAAATGGAAAGGGAAAACTTCCCTTCTTAGTGTGGGATGGAACTACAAATGTGACTGGACAGTCTGACACAGAAAAGCATCCCATGATACCCCTTCCCATTTGAGATGTTAGCCAATTATTAAACATGCTTTATTCTTTGCCATGTGCCAGGAGAGAGAGAAAGAGGCATTCTTATGCTGAGGATCTGGTAATATAAAGATAACATAGCTCCTAAAAGGGAATAAACAGTAAAATATAGACATGGGCCACAATGGCCACTCCCTACTTCTATGGGTTTTTTTTCATTTGTCTGGCTTTACTAAGAAGACTTGTTGAGGCTGAGATCAAGAGGCTCAGTGCAGTGTCTGAGGACTTAGCTGCAAGTTCTCATTACTCCTTTCTTAACTTCTCATTAACTTTTTCCTTAATGCCAGTGTTTAAAAGCTGAGAAGTCTCAGGGCCATACAGCGAAGGAGAGAGCTATCAGCAGAGTTGCCTGCTGGAACCTCAGCACTTTCTTGACCCAGAATCAGCTGAGCAATTAGCAAAAAAGTTTGTTAGATTCTGTACTACCGAGGACTCTCTCAAGATTTGCCATTGTGTCTTTTTCCCATTCCTGGTCATCACAAAGATCTTCATTATCTCTGCCTTGTGAGGCCAAGTCTGCCTTTGTCTCTCTGTCTCTTAAATTACTCTTAAAGTTTGCAATGAAAGGAGCTTTGTGCAGATCCAAGCCTCCAATTGAGATAAGGAGATGCAGTGTCTATGTTTGGATGTATTGTTATTAGTGGTGGCTTTATGTGATTGACCTGTCATTTTGCTCGCTTGTGTTTACTGCCTCCATCCAGGTTATTTTTAGCTAGTTTTACTCTGACGTTTTATAAGTAACAGGCTGTGCTTTGATCAGAGGCCTGTGCTAAGTTACAAGTCCTCAGTTCCTTCTCACTGTGCAAATATTTGTCTTGCCAGTATGGGAGCTACTTCTATTTTATCTTCAGGTGAGGAACAAGACACAGACATTTGTCTGTCTCCTGCTTCCTTGTTATTTTAATCAGAGTGTAAGTGCCTTTTTGCAGGTTTGAAGGTACGTTGCTGCCTTGCTTGGCTTCTTTTAAAGTAGGTGCAGAAGAATCAATCAGTCACTGTCTTGGTAGTTCTACAGGACTGAGTTAGCTTCACAAGTCAATTGATTCCCCGCCCCCCCTTCTCTTTGTCAGTTTATTACTGACCTGCAGCAATTAGCACAAAACAGGCAGTAGCAGGGATGTAGGTTAGGAGAGAGTGTGTTTATTTGGCTGGCAATTGTCACAAACCCTTGTTCTTTCTCCCAGGGTCCCTGGCAGTGTCAGTAGCTGATATGACTGCACCTGTGGTGGGCTCCTCTGGAGGCGTGTATGCTCTTGTCTCAGCTCACTTGGCCAATATAGTCATGGTGAGTACCAGAATGACCGTCTAACCTCTTTGGAAGTGAGCCAGGTCTGGTGGCACAATGGGATTGGAAATAGGGCCTGACCCAGCTGTTGGTCAGTCAGAGCTTGCCCCAGTTAAGAGTCTTGTCTCAGTAGTATGGTCCTGGAATGGAAATATTACACTGCAGCTGGTAGCTTGGTACCCTGATGACTGGCAGCTTGCCAGGAGAAGCCAAAGATGCTGGTAATCCAAGACTTATCAGTGTACTCCAGGCTATCAGCATTCCTTGCAAGGGCTGACAAATATTTGGAAAAGAAGGAGCTGTCTGGCTCTGCAGAATTTGCAGACCTGTTTCTGTCTGCATGTGCCATGTAATGTTAGTGGGTACCTAAGGAAATTTAGTATTTGGTGGATTTGTGTGCAGAATATCCCTGATCTCCATTTGTAAAACCCAGACTGAAGCTGAACCCTGGGCATACTAGTGATGCATCTTTTTGCCGTTTCACCTAATGAAATGCTTTACAAAGGTCAGTAAGAACCAGCATCGTCATTCCTCTAAGACCTGGAAACAGGAGCTCATCCAAGGTCCTCAGCTAGGTGGTGGCAAAGCTCAGCATATCTGCCTGTGTGACTCCTAAGCTGACCACTGGGCAAAATGGCTTTGCTGAGAGAGGATTCGTGTGTGGTGGTACAGCGTTGCATGTCTGTCCTGTACCAGCAATGTCAGAGCAGAATAACCATAAAAATGATGGTAATGTGTCCTCCCCTGGCTCTGAGTGGGAAAATAATGTGGGTTGGCTGCAGTAGAGACAGAAGGTCTGTTATATGGGTGCTGGAAAACATGTGCGTGTGTGGTGGTACTTGTGTCAAGCCTAAAAGAAAACCTTGTATTTAATGCTTGTGTGCAGCGAAGTCCACAGGCTCCAGCTGCAGCCCACAACAGTGCCGCTCCAGGCGGCCTTTGTAGCAGCTGGGAGCAGGGAAAGGGAGTGATTTCCTGAGCAGAATAGGTCTCCTTTGCTGTCTTCAAGTTTTTTGGAGCATGAATGAGCTGGGGGCTGTTGTCCGAATTAGGACAGTTGAGTGGCTGGCAGAGAGACAGGGAGTGGAGGAGAGGGGCTACCCCTATACCACAAGGTTTCTACGGGGGAAATGCCTCCTTATATAAAGTTATTTTCAGTATGATTTGTGTTCCCTGCCACTGGGCCAGCAGAAGCAGGAGGGACTTTCCTCTGTCTCACAGGGTGGTAATGCAGACTCAGGGTTTTTTCACACTGAGATTCAGAGGGGGTCATTTGAGGAAATTTTGGGTTGCTTTAGAGGAAGAGGCTCTGCCAGAGGTGTGTGGAGAGTATTCACCAGTTACCTTCCCAGACTTCTTAAAACATTGCAAAGTGGCCTGTCACTTCACTACTCATTGGCCTCCTCCAAATCTATTTAGCAATTGCTACCTTAGCATCTACATTTCTCCATTATCTGCTACCTCTCTTCTCGTCTGAAATTACTTTTACTGCCTTTCCCATTCTGGTGGAGTTTTTTTTGCTTTTCTTGCCCCCTCTTCTGTGTCTCTGCTCACTTAGTATCTAGATGTGATGCTCCCGCATGCTGAAAGACATGTTGGCCATTTGTCGGTAAAACACAGTCTTGGGCAGGTGCTTTGAGCGTGCTAGGAAGAGGAGGGACCGTTGCAGGGAGGGTCTCTTGAATCTTCTGTTCCCTTGTGCCTCCTGGTAACCAAAGGAAATGAAAACATTCCTGCTTGTAAAAATAAATATTCTTGGAATTAAATACATAAAATAACCAATGGGAGAAGTAATAAAGCATGTCACCCTAAGGAAAAGAGTAAGGAGAGGAATTCAAAACAGCTACATGGAAATGAAAACTGAAGGAAGCAGCACAGTATTAATCAGCATGAGTTCAGAGCCTTCTGACTGGGTTAGGTGTCTCTGTGGAGAGACAAAATGAGTTACTTATTTTGTAGAGATTGCATTTTTGCAGTCACAGAAGTGATTTACAGACAGATTGCAAATAAAACTTGAATGTATGTTATATGTATTGCAGAATATTTCTTCAGCAGGCTGTAAAGTCACTGAGTGCCATGAAACTTAGGCTGAAGAGTTTAAAAAGAGGGTTTTTTTATTCCTTCAGTGTGATGAACAGGGAGTTTTCCACAAGAAACCTGGCTCGCTTGGTATCTCATACTGCTTTCAACAGGCAAAATTTCATTTAGTCACTTAATAATAATAATAGTGTTGTCATACATCTGAGTCCCCCAGAACATGATCTCTTTTTCTGCTTGGAAATTTTGTGCAAGTGGAAAAGGAGGAATTTAAACATTTCTCCCAGGATTTCTGACTATCATTCGGAGATTCTTATTCCACTATATTGATTAATGACCAAGCCTGAAGACAGAGGAGGCCAAATCCAGGCTTTCTTGGCACTCTTTCCTTGGTATACTTTTACTGAGGTCTTTATTATTTGTGTGTTCTCTGCTGAAGGTCTAGGTTGCAGAATTTCAGGGAGCATGAGGTACAGGCAGTAGCACTGGAAAAGCACAGTAGGGCTTGAATGCACCGAGAAATTGCCTAACAGGTGACAGTGTTGGGACTCCAAGTGAATCATGATGAGCTGTGTGATGTTAACCAGAATGATGCTTATGTTGAATGCTAGGTACTACTTAACATAATTTTATTTGATGTGTCCTAATACAACAGGGTTTTGCAGGGTAGGTAAATTCAAATATTTTCAGAAGTCGGAATTTAAGGTGAAACATCACACTAACATGTTAAAAATTAGCCAGTCTGAAGAACAGAGAATGGCAAGGCCAGCCAAGGACCATGCCACACCAGCTGGATTTCAGGCAAAGAAAGCCAGTAAGACTGCCAGGCAAAGAAGTTATGGACTGTCCATAACTTGGACATGACTGCAGTATATCCTTTTTGGTGTTGTCTCTGGGATTGACAGATCTGTGTTTGGTGTTGTGCGTGGAAAGTCCAGGTGGCTAAGGCAATGAAAGGGGTTTGTTTCAAGGATTGGTTGTCCTTGGTGCTCTTCCAGTGTAGATCTGAGTGTAAAATCCCTCCAGCTTTGCAAGCACCATCACTTTGTTTTCCTTCTCTCTTTTCCAGAACTGGTCAGGAATGAAGTGCCAATTCAAACTGCTGCGCATGGCTGTTGCCTTGATCTGTAGTAAGTATCATGCAATACTTGGCACCACGCAATCCTGTTTTGTTTGCCCTTGTCATAACAGTTCATGCTGATTCAGAGAGTTTTGACTTTGCAGCAGTTTTGGTAGGAACTTGCAGCTGGATCTTCTAGCAGCAGAAGCCACATCGCTCTCAAATGCAGATTTTGGCTTTCAACACAAACATTTGTAAATGAGGATTATTTGTTAGCCAACATCTGTAGCTTGTAGCATTTGTGAAGATCTGGGACTTAAATGTCTCATCTTTGAATTAGCAAGCAAGCAATGCTTTAGCAATGATAATACTTAGGTTTCCTAGAGCGCTTCCTATCTGGGATGGCAACAGCATTATACACACATTAATGAATTATCTTCCAGCCATATCCCTAGGGTGGCATGATACGGGAAACTAAGCTGTGTATTTGTCAGAGACAATTGTCTTCGAAGTCCAATTAATTTCTTTTATGGTTTTGGTATAAATTTTGGAACGCAAATATTCCCTCACCTATCTACACTCCCATGAACCCAGACCACTTACCAACCACTGGGGACACCTCATGTCTATGCACCGCAACACTTACACAGCCATGGCTTTCCAGCTTCCTTATGCTTCCCATACAAGGCAGTTTCTCCCTCCGCATCTCTTCAGGGATGCAGCACTGCCTACAAGGTGGACTTAAGAATGGATAGACCTAGACAGTTAATTTCTTTTTCCTTCTTTGTTCCAGTGAGCTTTGAATTTGGAAGAGCCGTGTGGCTGCGATTCCACCCCTCCGCTTACCCACCATGCCCACACCCCAGCTTCATGGCTCATCTGGGAGGGGTGATGGTTGGAATCACCCTTGGTGTCATCATCCTGAGGAACTATGAGCAGAGACTCCAAGACCAGACTTTATGGTGGATCTTCCTTTCTATTTATGTCATTTTTGTCTTGTTTGCCATCTTCTGGAACATTTTTGCCTACAGCCTGTTGGATCTAAAGCTACCTCCCCCTCCTTGAAAACATGGGACAAAAAACTTGAGAGTGGAAGTCATCTGTCAGCTATGTTAAATGAATGAAGATGGAGCATCTATTTTTATATTTAACTTAGGGGAGGATGATTCTTTTGAACACAGCTGTGTGCTGGAGGAGATGCTTGAAGATCTCACAAAAGAATGGGCTGATCAGTTTGTTCACAAATCTAGCAGGTACTGTAATACTGGCTGGCCTGGACCCTGCAGCTTCTCCACTGCCAGGGCTCCTGTTGGGCAGCTTGTACCTGGGCACTTATCACTTGGTTTGTTAGCACACATCAATATTTTGTATGAGATATTTGTATTTTCCAGGTCAGTGCTGGAATTATGGCCAGTTGTTGAATGAATCTCCTCAATGTTACTGAACACTAAAAGGGAAAAAGAGCAGACATTTACTAATTAGAGACTCGCATGGTACTCACAAGGCAGCTTGGGTTTGGTTTCTATGGACACATCTGACTGTTCAGCCATACCAGTGCCACTGTCTAATTACTTGAATGGTTCCTAAGATATTTTAGCCTACGGTGAAACCTGTCTTATGCACCTTTCAAAGGAATCAGCAGAACTTGATCACCCAAAGTGATGGAGACTGGTCTTCAACTACAGGTCAAATGAAAATTGCACTATAAACCTTGGGAACTCTTAGAGTGTTGTGGACACCCAACCAGAGGTGACTTTTACTGTGCATGTTTCACTTGATTTTAATTTTTTTTTTTTTTCCCCCCAGCCTGCTGTGGCTAGAGGGTGTGGCTGGGGTCTCTTTTTTGAAGGATGGAGAAAAGGAGGGCAAATGTTCAATTGTGTTTTTATCAGCTGACAATCAAGTGCTGTTTTTTTCTCACTTCATTTCTGGCCACATAGATCTAACACCTGGCCTGCAGTGAGCTCCTAGCAAGGATCTGAACTCTTCCAGCAGGTTCTTATTAGAAAAGTGGGAGAGAATCACCTATAGCAGCGCAGGGCAGGAACTATCTAGTCTTCACAGCCATACAGTCCATCTGGGGCCAAATCTGTCCACTGAAGTCAGTGGAGTTAAATCAGGTTGTGTGTAGCACTGGTTTCCCACTGAAATGGAAGGTGTGTTACTGTGTTACAGTGATCATTGTGAAACAGATAAAACTGTTTTTAAAGTGACTGCTAAGTTTTGAGGATGCCTTTTCCTGGGGCAATGGATGTTCTGGGGGCTGCAGAAACAGTTAGTTGCAATGATGCCTTTTTCTCTAACATTAGTCAAGCCCAGGTTTTGGCAATCTGTAACTGCTCTGCAGCACAGTCCATACAGTTGCCTGCACAGACCTGAAGACCAGACTGGAACATCCATAGCACAAGCAGCGCTTATAGGTACACTTCTCTGTAAGGTGCTTTTGTTATTTTGCTTCTCACTTTAGAGAGCTGCCAAACTACAGTCCAGGAATGTGGATGCCCTCCTTTTCTCTCCCCTTTACCCCCCTAGTTTGATGGCCTGGATAAAGCAGCCATAGGAGTCTCTCTAGACTAGCTCCTTTCTTCATTTTTCCTAGCTGCATACTGGCGCCCATGCACCAGCCACCAGAGCCTTCCACAGCACATCTAATGGGCACTGTAGCAGTCGGGTTTGCTCTGTAGCAAAATGTCTCTGTATCGTGGGCTTTATTGTCTCAGCTGTGTAACAGGTGCTGCCAGATGATACCACAAACTGGTAGGAGTCTGTCATTCTAGAGGGGACATTCATGGGTGCTTATCAGCTGCCCCCTTCTTTGCCTCTTATGGGAAAAATCTCCCTGGTCTGGAAGGGTGAAGTTCTGCTCCCACAGTATGCACCAGTGAAAATCCTGTTGCCTCAGGGAAAGGGAGAGGGGAGAAAATAAGTGTTTCTACAGCCTGGAATAAGCCTTACCTGCAAAAGAAACGATTTTTGCCACCTTTGTGCGCAGGAATGGGATCTCTGAGGGCAGCTGCGCCTTTGTTGTTCTGTATGGCTAGTACATTGCTCATGGGCCGTCAGATCAAGGAACAAGAGGAAGGGTTAAGGATCAGAGCTCTGGTCATTTTGGAAAAGGGGATTGGTTCCCCATGCCATTTTACCTCTGCAATTTTGGTCTAGATCAAAGCAGTCATGAGAGTTTACATGCATCGTTTCAGGTGCTGACGCAGTGAGTTTCGTAGCAGTGGAGATCATCTCCCTGGGAAGCAGCAGGCAAGCAGGAGAGCGGGGAGCTAGGAGAATACTGACAGAAGCATGGTTAACACGTAAGGAGGACATTCCTTTCCTCACTTATCGCTAAGCCTTTCTGATTACAGATGCCTTTAAAACAGAGGTGAGCAGAAATGGGAATTCTCCTGGAAGTTTTAGGAAAAATTTGAAAATTTTGTTTAAAAATTTCAATCACGACAAAACCCAGATTATTTTGCCTATAATTTACAAGAGTACAATATGCACTGATTGACTTCTATTTTTGGTTTCTCAACTGAAAGCTACTTAATACCCATCAGTTTCTCCTCAGGAAAGGTTTCTGTGCCTGCCAGTGATGTGCTCTGGGGTGAAACAGCAAGCTACAAGTTCAAGGGCCGCCACTTTCTTCATCAGCCTGACCCTGGCTAACATATCTTTGCCTCTGCTCAGGAGTAGGAGGGAGCTGAACAGAATAATCCAGGCACCCTTCTTTTGTCCTTTATGTATAGATGAACATAGTTTACATGAACTGGTTGAAAACAGCTCTGAGGTTGAGCTTATGACCTGTTCTTTTAAATTGTTGTTCATCTTTCTGACTTCATTCTGTGTCCCCATACCCTGTCACTTGAGCAAGTCTACAAGCAACCCTGGGGATCAGAAAGGCCAGACTTTAAAGCAGTACTAGATTTATTGTGGGTGAAGAGATGAAACCTTCTCACATTCCTGCTCATCAGAGCTGAAATCTCTCCCCATACATAGAGCAGGTTGTACACGGAGCCTGTTGTCTGGTAAGAATCTATCAGCTCATGGAGTCAGGAGCAGCTCAAAGTGCTTAAGCTTTTATAATTTTATTTTTTTAAATCATTAAAATTACACTGTGAAAACTTGTTATGTTTTTACAGAGTATCAGGAAATCTAGTTATGTTATTTTCTAATGCATCCAGGAGTGCCACAGTGCTGCAGCACCAGAGAGCTAATAGCAACCAGGCTTTTCTTTTACCTCCAGATGTCCTTGAAACTGCTGGCTTACGTTGGAGATATAATATTCTCCATCCTGCTCATTTGTGGTTCTTAATTGTCACAGTCAGTAACATGTTCCTGAAGGAGCTGTCCACTGAGGGACTGGTTTTGGTGATTTGTTTTGGTTTTATTTCAGCTGCTGCCAGGATTTTACAAATTTGAACAGTGCACATTAGAGGAGGTTATTTTTTGCTTGTGTCCTTGAGTGAGGACACACCACCTAGAACAAAAAAAGCCGTTTCTGTCCTGGACTTCCTATTTAGTAAGTATATTGCAGCACTGGTTCAGTGAGGATGGGTGTAGGGAGTAGTCATGCAGACTGGGCTGATTGTAGAGCCCCTTCAGGGACACCTGCCAGCAGCATGGTGACAGCACGGATGGGATCCAGCCCTGAGCCTCTTGCTGATCCCTCATCCCAGAGGAGAGATACAAGAAGTGGCTCAGACAGCCGTGGGGAGGAAGAAGGAGGAGGAAACCAGGTAGATTAAAGTCCATGGGGCTTGCAGATTGCACCTTTTATTCCTAGATGCTTGGAGACAGGTAGAGATTAATTTTGCACACATCAGTAATATAGGAAGGAGGAGTGGGAGGGTTGTAATGGAGTGATGGGAGAGGAGGTTACCAGGACCAATCTCTGAGTGAGGTGTAGAGGAGCTGTAAAAATGCTGATGAATTCACTTTTGCTAAGTTCTTAAGACAACAGCTCATATCACTTTTTCCCCATCAGTCGATGAGGAATCTTAGCACTTAGGTGGCATACTGTGATTCTTCACTACTTGCTCCTTTAGCAGTAGGAAGTATTTTATCAAAGGGGAAGGGGGAGGCCAGAGAAATTATTGTTGTCTGAGGTTGCTGGACTAGAAATAAAGCTCAGGGTTTCTGTGTCCCAAGACCTCGCTCCTTCTGATGGATCGTACTGCCCATATGTTTTAAATCAGATTAGATCAATTTGAACTGGGGTATGAAGGATGGAGTCTGACACATTTAGAGCTGGTACTAAAATAACAGCTATCTGCTGACCTCACAAGACAGCTACTGTTTTGTGCCAATATTTAGTCTCACAGGATCGTGGGTAGGACTTTCACACATACTTCAGTGAGTAAAGAGCTCAAAGTCTATCTGTTTACATAGACTCAAGCTCAGCTCAATTGCTTTGGAAACCCCATCCACTGGCTTTACCTGAAGTGGAACTGGAGAATATGGATGCAGTTCAACACCAGCAGCCTCTGGAGGCAAACTGGGATCTAGAGAACAAAGGCCAGCACCTCTGGGGTTTTAGCCTCTGAATATTGCCGCTGTTCTGTCTCTTTTATAGTAGTGGCTGCTCCACAGTGCTCTGTGATACGACTCAAAAATTCCTTCTGCAATCACTGATGCTGAGAGCTGTTTATAAAGGAAAACAGTGCATTTTGTAGCTCTATACAGAAAGAATCACACATAAGACCGAAACCAAGCATGTTTAAAGGTAAATGTATTTTTAATGTCACCATTAATCATTGGCTTTTAATTGGAAAAAGCTTTCTAATGTGGTATTTCTGAAATGCCAGTAGTAGTACAGAAAATCTATGTTTCAGGGTACTTTACAACACAGAGCACAAAATATTCCCTAAGTCTGATTTAAGTAGCAAAAGTACCTTAATCTTCAGTGAGCTTAATAGATACGTTAGTCACTGACTGTCTCCTGACTCCCCCACAGTGTCTGTTTGGTTTGCAAATAAAGCTAGATTTATGCAGCTTTTCTTTTGCTTACACTACTAATGCTAACAACACATCTAAGTGTTAAACACAAAGCACTAAACAATGTAATTTTCTGC